CAATGAGTTCAACCTGTTCTACAACAGGTTTGACACAACCTCACCTGTCTCTCTCCCACTGCTTCAGTGCAGCTTCTCCTACGGCATCTCCTCCACAACCTGACCCTGCAGCTGCAACTCCCTCCATACTGGGGTCAAGTCTCCTGTCCTTTACAGAAGAGGAGGGAGAGTTCAAGAGGCTGTGTCCTGGAAACACAGCAGGCCCGGACGGTGGTGGTCTGAGGCTGTTAAAGGACTGTGCAGCCCAGTTGCGCTGAGCCTCTCCAGAGGATCTTTAACTTAAGCCTTCAAACAGGGAGGTCTCGGTCCTGTGGAAAACATCATGTCTTTCTTCCGGTACCTAACGTAGGACGACCGGCTGAGATAAATGACTACAGACCGGTGGCCTCACATCACACATCATGAAGACCCTGGAGCGGCTGCTTCTCCACCTTCTGAGGCCACAGGTTGAACACGTCCTGGATTGTGGATTACCTGACAAGACGACCACAGTACGTCAGGCTGGGTAACTGTGTCTCAGGGACAGTTGATGAGCAGCACTGGGGCTCCACAGGGGACTGTTCTGGCTCCGTTCCTGTTCACCCTGTATATGGCCAACTTTAAAATACAACTCTGAGTCCTGCCACATCCACAAATACTCGGATGACACAGCTATTGTTGCGTGTATCAGGAACGGGCAGGAAGAGGAGTCCAGGGATCTGATGATGGCCTTAAAGTGAATGGAGCGACAAGAACTGCCTCCTTCTGAACACCTCCAAGACCAAGGAGATGGTCATCGACTTTCGGAGTCTAGGCCCACCCTTCAGCCAGTCAGATTCGAGAGAAGGACATTGAGGTGGTGCACACTTATAAATACCTATGTGTGCACCTGGATAGTAAACTGGACTGGTCCCTGAACACGGATGCCATCTACCTGAAGGGCAGAGCTGGCTCTTTTTCCTCAGGAAACTCAGGTCCTTTGACATCTGCAGTGAAATGCTGCACATGTTTTATCAGTCAGTTGTGGCCAGTTGTACTCTTTTATGCTGCAGTCTGCTGGGGCAGCAGCATGTCAGACATGAACACAAAGAGACTGGACAAGCTGGTCAAAAGGCTGGGTCTGTGCTTGGCAGGAGTCTGGACTCAGGACTTCTATCTATCTATCTATCTATCTATCTATCTATCTATCTATCTATCTATCTATCTATCTTATCTATCTATCGTGAAGTTAATATTGAAGCAATATTCTACCTGCGGACCCGTTTAATGCCAAACTATGCATAACCACATCTTAAAAATAAATTTGTGTCTGTTAACAAAGCATTACCAGCTTGGAACGAGTGACATGAAACCTCAACGCCATAATAGAACAGATCTACCAAAATGAACTTATTGTTAATTTTTTTTTTTTTTTTTTCACTAGTCTTAAACCCATTATCTTCAAATTTAATACCTACAACAAATTTACAGTAAATATAAGACATTTTAAGATCTTATTTTCCTTTTTACCGACCTGCGGGAACCCTGATCCGCTGGCTATGGCAATGACCTTTCATGTTCAGAGCATATTATTTTCTTTGTTTCTTTGTTACTTTGCATCTGCCTGATGTTGAAGACTCTATTTTCCACATTCTCCTCAGGATGAATTGTAGTAACTCACTGAGTGGTTGAAATGTCCAGATTCCAGGAGAGGGACCTCCAGGACTGTGATACTTAGCATGACAAGGGTCAATGGACAGTAGTTTTATAAGTTCTCATTATTAATTAACATGACCAACAGGACAGTCTACCAAAACCTGATCAAACCTAATGTTTCCTCCTGTCTCCTCAGGCTCCTCCCTCCTCCACAGCAGACAGTGAGGACAGCTTCCGGCCAGGCAGCCTGTTCAGACAGCTCGCTGACCAGGACGAAGACACAGCAGCTCCGTCTTTATTCAAACTCAGCTGGCTGTCTGGCATGGCCAAATAACCCTTTGTTGCTTTATTGCTAGACTTTTTATTTGCCTTTGCATAAACTTTGTAAAGATAATATGTATACTAATAAATCTACTTTTGTCTTTTGAAAAAAGCCTCTTGTGATTGAATTCAGTTCAATTCAATTCAATCCAATCTTTATTAAGGACAGCTCATGAGGGTTCCACAGAAAGAAAATAACAATAAACAAAACAAAAAGAGCCTTTCAAAAAGACATTCCACAATACTCAGACAATTGCATACAGGCTGCAACGCCAGTGGACCTGACATTAGATGGTAACCTGACGGAGCTCAGTTCAGGGTTGGTTAAGACTGAAATAATACCATTTTCAGAATCAGATACCCTACACATGCATTTATACATCAGATTTCTTATTACAGCGGGGAAGGTAGGTACAACTGCATTCACAAACATTTGGCTGGTACTGCATCTTCTTGGAACTCTAAGCAGCAGCCTCATACTGTCATTATAAGCCACTGTGACTCTCTGCATACTAGCTTTTCTGACAACACCATAAGTGGGCAATATATAGTGTGGAACTGAAAGCTTTTAAAAAGATGGATCTTAACAGTCACTGAACACATGGTAAATTTACGAGCTAACATATTTGCTTGTGCGTACATCTTTCGACACTACCTGTAGATGTCCTTGTCATCTGATAGGTCATTGGTTATGTAATGTCCTAAATATTTGCTCAAATGCACTCCTTAAGAGGAATATGCAAAAGGAAGAAGTCAGGAAATACTAATCTTCTGTCTTCCCAGCTCCTAACAATCATAATATTATTCGTTCATATAATATTTTATGTCAAAATCTAGACCATACTGTGAACATACCCTCAATAACTGTTGAAGACAAACACTAGATGGAATGAAAATCACCAAATCATCTGCATACATAAAGTGGTTAATGATAGAATTACCAACTATGCATCCTGTGCTACATCCAGTTAACTGCACTGACAAATCATTCATATAAATAAAAAAGAGATAAGAGAAGAGGAGACAGAATACCGCCTTATCGAACTTCATTATTCACATGGAACGGATCAGATACAGAATTTTCCCATCTAACTCGCATTGTTTCATGTGCGTACCAGAATGCCAGGATTCCCGCAAGAAGGAACCCCTCTTTCATATAATTTGTTAAATAATTTACGCGATTTATACGATCATATGCTTTCGTAGCATGAATCAAACACATAAACATTGTGGTATTTTTCATTTTGTATTTATCTAAAATCTCCTTTAAAGCAAAAGCACACATATCAGTTCCATGTTTACATTTAAACTCAAACTGGTTATTGGTAGTCAGGATGTACTACTCCCGTCTGTTTAGTTTGATTCTCTCCAGCTAATTAAATAGAATGCTGGCTATGGCTCTAGTCCTGTAGTTCTCTGAACTGTTTATCTTTGTCTTTTTTTATCTTTAACCACAGGCACAAGTATAACTTAAAGTCATTATTTTTATACCATATGAGTGTTTAGTATTGTTGGTAACATTAAAACCTACCCGACCATGATGTTCCTTTATTGGGAGACTGAGACTGATGCAACACTTGCTGCATTTCTACTCAGAGACAATATGGACTAGACCAACCAAACTTTTATACATTAAACTCACACCTGTCTGCTAATGACCCATACCATTTAAAGATGATTACATGACTTATTATTCACAATATTTATTTGAATGGAAGAATTCAAATGTTGCAACAGAACCCAACCCTTGGGACAGTTGCAACATATATATATTTATATATATGTGTATATGTAAATATATATATACAGTGTGTATATATATATATAGTCAATTAACTTTTGCTTTATTATGACATTATAGTATTATTTATTTAATGATATTTATTGAATTTTGTGTAGAACATATGAACCTACCTTCAGTCAAAATATGCACAATTTATTTATTTTACTGCTTATGATGAACAGAACAGGTAAATATATTATAAAACCATCAGAGGCTAACAAAATAATTCCCAAAATAACTTTCTCTTATGCATCAAAATGAGCAATTAATGTTGTTCTGTTGTTCTATGGGACAAAATTAGCTGCATATTTTGACTATTTTGAACTAAAATGATGAAACACATTGTTGTGTGGTCTGTTGTGATTTGGCTGCTTATCTTGACGACCGTTATAATAACTTGTTGCAACCGTCTCCACCCTGTCAGCCATGACAGAACAACGTGCTAGAAACACTGACGCATGCTAACCCTGTCACTCAGAAGTCAACACAACAAGTTTAGGACAGTTTGACAAAAATACAGCTCATGAAAAAAATTGCATTCTTTCTCCAAAACAAGTTTTTTTTAGATAAATGCAGCAGCAGATGCTGAATGTGTCTTCTGTGTTCCTGGTGAGGGGAGGGTCTAACAGTATGAGCGTGCAGTTTGAGTGTCATCACTGTAGCATTTCTGACTGGAGGAATAAGACTTGTTGCAACAGTGCCCAGTCTCCCAATGTAAAAGTTCCAAACTCCACCTTTAACATACACACACACACACACAAACAAACACGCACAGTGATCTGAAGTCTGCTTTAACTTGATCTCATTTATCAAAATAACCAGATTTACACACTTTACAAATATGCACATGTGAATGAGTTCTCTTTAACTTCAGTGGACTGACGTTGTACATTTTGATTAGAACTAGTTTGATCATTTGCAGCAGGGAACAGACAGTTCAGTAAAAATCAATCTCAGCAGTGTACACAACCACAGTTCTATTTTATACAGACTGCAGCAGCAACAGCAACAATATCTCCAACTTACACACTAGTGAGATAAAAATCATTTGACTATTACCTCACACTCTTACTTGTATGGAGTAATATGAATGTACAATAGAACTATTACACTGGCTCTCATGAAAATCTGACATTGAACAACAGTTTATTATAAATAATAATAACTATTATAATAATAATCTTTATTTTCATAAATATATATTTAGGTATTGAAATAAATAAATAAACATGAAATAAATTCAAATTGATAAAAATGTAGAGAAAAAAAATACTGCATCACTTTCTAAATAATGGGAAGGGTTTTCAGTTTGTGTTTTCTTACATTGGATAATTCCAAAACAAAGTGACACTGATGAGCAGCTGGTACCTGTGTTGATGGTATATCTCTACTTCTTCCTGTCTATTTTGCTCATCATGGCCTTGACATCCACAGGAGCAGAGGCGGCAGCAGCCTTCGCCTTTTCCTCCTCCTCCTGCTGCCAGAGGATGATGGGATGAATGCCCGGGCTGCGGGTCAGAGCGTTTTGCTCCAGCTGGGCTGGACTGGAGTGAAAAGAGAAACTTGGTGATGAACTCAAGATGATGGGAAAGCCTTTGTCATGAGGGAGGACAATATTCTGACAAGAGGCTTTCAGTTAGTTCTATTCTTCTTATTTTATTCATTGTGGTATAAAGGTAAAATGTGTTAAGGGCTCATTTTACCCAAACTACAAAACACAAATTTGCAGATATCTATGTATACATATATAGTATATAGTACATCAACGGTGTAGGTTTGCATTTGGACAGTAAGGACATGTCCCTACCAATATTTTGGGGGGACAGAATTGCCCCTACTAATATTTGAGTGAACTAAGAGGTCGGGGACTATCTGGAGGCAAATATCACACTCAGTGCAGCTGCTTACATCGCCACCCTTACATTATTACATTGTTAATACTGATGCATCAGTGGATTAGCAGCACTTTACTGATGCAGCTGGTCAAGGAGGAGCTGGTTTTAAATGAGAAATCAAATAGAAAAGGAGAACTGCAGCACTGGTAGGACTACTGAATATAAACATGTTGACCATGGATGCAAAAATGCAAAACTAGTGTTAGATTTTTCTCTTTGCCATTAACAAGTAATTTCCTGAAGTTTACTTTCTTTAAATTTTTGATCCGTTACTGTGTATAGTTTTTATTTAAATGTAAACACTGGTCATAACGTAAATACAGATGATATGTTTGTTATGGAGGTTGTTGTGAACCTATAAATGTTGAGACCAAACCTACGCCCTTGGAGTACATATAGTTTAGGATTTGTTTGTCCAGGTTTTAAGATCTATGTATGTCTGTGAGGTTTGTGTTGTGTCACCACTGCAGTAAAAGGTGAAGGGAATTTCATTTATGATGTTCACAGTGTTGAAGGAACAGAAACACTGTCGACATGACAGTCCACCTCATTCACTATCTCTCTGAGCCCAGTTGACATGTATGTGATTTTATTTGGGTTCTGTCAAAAGAAATATTATTAATAATAAAAAAAAATAATAATAATTATAATAATAGGTGTGACCTGAAAATATTAATTGCTGCGGAAAAAAATGAAATGAGAAATGATCTGTATATGATCTGTCTCGGGGACTGGGAGGAGTCAGTGGGCAGCCAGAGAAAGATCAGAGATGACATCAGAGACACAGGTTAATATACAACCACCTGAGTGGTGGTATTAATTATTATTATTATATTTTATATCCAAATGGAAATAATATTTTATATCCAAATGGTCAAAGGTTAATTTCACTGTGACATCATAATGTTCTTTACAAACACTTTTGGTCATTATTCAATGCTGTAACTCAGGAAGGAGAGACTGTGACCATGTTTCCTGACACTTGGCTGGTTGGTGGAGGGATACAACCAGAAGGGGGAGATTCTAGTTTTAATAAAGCCCCCTCTCAGTTTACAGCTGCTGTACTGTCCCTTTATGTAATAATATGCTTGAATCTGTCATTAAACTTACTAATAACTTTGGGGAAGAAATGTCATGATTATAGGGAGAAACAACAAGCACAGTCAGTTTGTACATACAGTATATTGGGACAGCAGTTTCTAGATATCAGAGATTAACTAGAGATTAATCTAATTTTAGCAACTGACCTGAAGTTATGAGGCTCAGGGTTCAGCGCCTTCTTCTGTATGTCTTTGTACACAGGTGACTTGAGGTAACGGAAGAAAGTATCCTGTAGCAATGAAAGCACAGGAGACTGCAGGTGAGCTCAGCTTCACTAAACCAAAGTGCCTTTAATTCCCATCTGAAAATGTGCAGATGTCATTTCTGTCACAAATTCTAATAATACAGCACATGTCAGAGCCGTGACCTGAAGGTGACCTCTGTTCCATTACAGTTTTTTGCGATTGCTTACACACTAAAAGTGAATGCTTAGACCAAAGCATCAAAACCTTAACTTTTAAAGCCATGCCTTAAACAAAGGAACCAAAAGTACAAACACATGTTCTACTTTACACTTTGTTTTCAATTCTACAACACTTCTTTTTCAAACTGCAACACACACCTGAATTTCACACCAAACACATACACACCTAAAAACACTTATGCAGATATTGAACACCACTCAGTCTGAGCCTTAGTGCTACAGGTAGACCTCAGGTGAGCTTCTGTGAAGCTTTGCAAACATGGAAGCAGTGAAAGTGAGAGGAAAGGAAGACAGAGGAGGTGGAGGATGAGGGCCAGAACAAAGAAGACCTGGTGATGGACAGACACATATTTCAGATGACAATGGGGCCACTTTGGTGGACCATGTCATAAATCATGATCTGACACTGAGGGAGGCTGAGCAGAGAATCAGTCCAACCTCAGTTGCTACAGAGTAGTATCCATAATATGGACATTGAGACTAGAGAGCAGATCTTCAACTTTCTACTAGACTGGACCTCTCAGTTCATCAACACCACCTTACAATGAAGCAGCTGTACAGGTTTCCATATGAGAGGAACAGTGTTAGAGTCAAAGACCTTCTCTATGAATATGTGGAAGTATCACTGAACTGTAGAATAACAGAGTAATGGCAGCAGATTGTGTTGTGTTTTCAATGTATACATTCAGACAAAGCAGTATGTGACCTGCACTAGTGCCTCCGTTCTGGGAGGGGGTGTCTGTAGGTCTCTGCCTATCTGACCCAACCCACCCCCAACCCCCTCCCCGTATGAGAATGTAGATGTTATAATCCTGTGTTTTTTACACCAGAATTACTTTACACCATATTCACATTTGAGTGTAAACCTGTTCTGTGACAGAGTCCTATAGACTTTGATGCAGCTGCAGCTGTAAGTTCTAATGTTCTGTACAAACCTGTTCTGGTAAAATCAGCTGTTTTCTGAATATTTTCTATTTCTGTGTTGTGTGAAGCAGTGTTTCATTTTGACATAGATGTTCAGATCCAGGTGTTCTGTGTTATTTTGCTTGTGTGTTGGGTTTTGACACAATGAGCCAAATTCTGAAATAAGTGTAAGCAATCACAAAAAACTGTAAACACGTTTTTATAGATCATCATATTTATCATTGAATCACTTGTTGGTACTAATCCACCACCCTAACATATGGGTGATAGTCATTAGCTACAGGGCAAGAAAAATAGTACACAGACACACCTTCTTCATCAGCAAGAAGACATGTGTCTGAGCTGCTTCCAGCACGTAGCGGTGAGGATGATCCAGGCCTTTCACTGTCAGACCCATTGTTCTGCCATCAATGTTAATCCAGCGCGGGGCCCCTGGGGCCAGGAAGGTCCTGAACACACACACACACACACACACACACACACACAGACACACACACATCACACACACACACACACACACACACACACACACACACACACACACTCCAGATCATGATATGATAGTAATGATACTGAAGGTCAAAGAGTGGAGAGGTGTGTAGTGTGTCTAGTTTTTTCATAGCCATTGGTTTGTCACTCTGTCTGAGGTCTCCAGTGAATTCAATAAAAGCCTTTGGTTTTCTAACATCTCTGCATCTGAGTCCTGCTTTGAGTCTCGGCCTGACAACGTCACTGTAAAAACCTGACTGTCCACATGAAAAACATGATATTTGCTTTGATGTGAAGTTTGAAGAGAAGTGAATGTAGTAGGACACGGCGGTGCCTGACACAAATGAACCAGGACCCTGTCCAGAATGCTTTGTGGGGATAAAACACATGACAACAAATCATATTAACTCATATCAAACTGTAAAAGAAGAGCACAATCACAACACAACATATTTTGTGTTCTGTATATGTATATGTATGTGTACAGTATATATATATATATATATATATATATATATATACACACACACATACATATAACATTGTGTACACACTAGGCCTAGTGACAATGGACCCACACACACACCTGCAGAGAGAGAGAAATAGTATTTGTCTCACTTGAAAATGGTCTCAGCTTTTGTTGACATGGAAGATGCAGTGCCCCATTTCAGTTCCTCAGCTGCCTCCCAAAAAGCCAAGTTCTCCCCTGGGATACACACACACACACACACACACACACACACACACACACACACACACACACATTTTAGGTCCAAATAACTTGTCCCATTAAACTTGTATTCATTACAGTCATTAATCACAGCCTGAAATATATTTTTTAAAGTTTGGTAACTTACCGCTGAACTCCTTCTTGAGGAAGATCTTGAAGTCGTCTCGGCCTCGCAGGTCGGTCAGCAGCTCAAACAGGCTGAAGGACCAGCGCTCTACTCGCATCTTAGTGGGGACATCAACTCTGAACACAGACCGGCACAGACACCCTCTCATGGCTGACTATGGCTTTTAAAAATCATCCATGTTACACTTTTATAATTTGGAATATGGGTAAATGATACATTTGTTATGCTTTGTGTCTCAACTCATATGAAATGAAAACATTAACTACTAATTTTGGCTGGTAAAATGACCTCACAATAATGTTTTTTCTATCCAAAATTGTCCTCACAATTATAGAAAGACATGTACATGTGAGCAAAGAACCACACATCAACACATACAAGTACATGCAAATACACTGTGTTGATTATCCTTAGAGTTGCTCCCATACCTGAGTTAAAAAGCTAAGAATTAATAAGTCTAATTAGTCAATCAAAATCAGCTTTGCCCATTTCCGCCTATTAACTATCAGTAGCACCTGCTGAGACACTGGCTGCTACTGGCAACTGTGGCCACCAGGGTGAGGAGGGAAACACGCACACACAATCACGTCTGTCTCCCTAGGTGGACAACAGCTTTTAAGATGGAACTTGTGTTCCAAAATGGAATATCAGAGGGAAACTACAAGTTCTGTTGAAAAGTAGCTGTAGAGCTTCTCCCAATCTAGTGATGATGTCATCCACTCTAGCTCTGAACATTCTGTACACACCCATTAAAAAGTGTGAAACAGTCTGAAAATTACACAAAACGTAAACTGCGATTTTGTGTACACAGTAATAGTTTTCAAAATACCGATTTAACCCAAAGGAGTCTCAAGTCAAAAACCCTCAAGGGTCACTTAGTAGCTTCCATATTTCATAGTCTTCCTCCATTCTTTCCAACTGAGAAAACTCCATTAGCTGAATAATTTCAAATGTCACACTTGTGTTTTCAAATGTAATTCAGAGAACTGATGATGATAATGATGATCCTTATAAAACTAAGAGGATTTGTCTCTGAATCGTCACTGAATCCTGGTGTTATTTGCAGCTTTACACAGCTCTGGATTTGATGGATAGATGAGGCCCTGGGGGTCGCTGCAGTAGTTTTACCACTGGACACACACACACACACACACACACACACACACAGAGCAGCAGGAGTCCAGTCTTTACTATGCTCAGTTCACATTCTTCAGGTTTGTGTGTTGACTGTAGAATTGAAATATTACATCTTTATACAACTTCTTCTCCATCTACATGTCTGGTTGCTTTGAGCGAGGCAGTAAACCTCAGACCTGTGTTCGGACAGCAGAGTCACATGGACGTCTGTCCTCACTGTAAATTTGCAGCCATTTATACAAAAACAAGTCTCATGTATTCTGTTTGACATGAAGGAAAAGAAGTGATCCTCCGAGGAGAGTTTACCAGCTGACGCTGAGGCTCTCAAATGTTTGTGTCTGTTTGTTCCTTTTTTGTGTTCCTCCCAAAACAGCTCATCACAATTCAGTGTAAACATATGAAAAGGCTAAAAATCTCCCAGTTTGGTTTGATTACAATAATTAGACCAATGTCTCACCATGACTGTGATCATTTCCTGATTTACCTTTACCTTGATGATGAAGCCACCCTCACCTTCTCATGTTGAGAGTCCAGTATGCATCGTTGTCTGTTTGCCAGGGGTTGCTGGGTAAACATGGAGCCAGAAAGGCATCATGGTTTTTGTAGTTTGTAATGTACTTGACCAACCTGCAGAGTCCACAGAACCTCAGAGTCAGGGTTTCCAAACCGTCACTGAACTGATCACCAGACACTCAAACAATCAAAAGGTCATGTTGTATCCCTCATATTAATTTAATAATGAGATCATCTCATTACAATTAGGAGGTAAAAATATGAGAACAAAATGTTGAGTCATAAATACAAGAAAAACAATTAATTATAATTAATATCAATTTTAACTCCTCTACATCAGGTACCAGATGAACTTACGCTCCGAGGGACACACTAGATTTGACCTTTGACCTCATGATGGCTTGTTGATAGAAAATGTTCTAGAAGAAAAGAGGAACACAAAATGTTGTTTGCAACTGTAAAATTATAATTGTAATTTTGCAAAAGTTTTCTGACCATCCACTTCCACCCAGAAAATGTCCTGCTCACTTCCACAGTTTCCAGTTTCAACAGTGAGCTGGGAGGAAGTTTTTCCATTGTTATTTCAGTGTGTGTATTTTTGAATGTTCTGACTTACTTTGCGTCTGTACTCATCAAAGCTGATTTTCTGAAAGACAGAAAAATAGTGAGTGTGACAGAGGATGATTCTGATGCTTTATTATTATCTACAGAGAGCTGCTGCAAACACAAACACGAACACGACTAAACACAACTGAATAAGCTGCTTGCAGGTTACAAAGTTTTTTGTGATTATTGCAAAATATCAACATTAATTTACTTTTGTGAAAGACTGAAACTTTTCTGACATTGGCCCTGTGCTCCAGAGAGAGAGAAAAATGAACTTGGCTTGATAATACTGAGGTCTTCTATGGGCTTAAATTAGGGTCAAAAAGATTTTGAGCTCGTAAAGTGATGTTCACAAATAATTCTAGTTTGTAGATTTTAATAAACCTTTAAAAATAAACCTTTGTAAACTTGTAAAATAAATTTGCAGGAGAAATGTGAGTTTGCGCATGTATAGAAAAGATTTGTATTTGTAAAAAAATTAAAATAAAAGAAGACTGTGAATGAAATCTGTGATCACATGAGATAAGTAGTGAGGTCACACAAAGACTCTGTGAAGTGTTTCTGTCAACATGTATGTAGAGATACAAAGCAGAAGACAGTCAGCACGCAAAGTTCCCACACTGTGTGTGACACTGAAACTACAAGTTATGAATTTTGACCTGTCTTCACACCTAAATCTATTTGGACAATAACAACCCAATGACAAAGCAGAGTCCAATCAGAAGACAGGAGAAAGATGCAGTAGATTTTCAAGATGGGCGACGTGCACTTCTGCAGACACACAGCACATTACATGTTTAAGCTTATTTTCTACATCATCAAATATAATTAAAGCCACCTGGTTTTACAGAAAAATGATTGACCCTAATCTCCCTTATAGAAAAACCACATGAATTTCCCATTTTTTCCACGTCTTACATTTACATTACATACATTTGATAACATGGTAGCACACGCTGCAAAATGTAGAGCACATGTGGAAAATGTGTCCACATGTTGTAATATGTCACAAATACTGCAGATTTTCAAAGTTTCACCATAACATTTTCAACAAGTGCAGTAATGTGAGAACTGACAAACATGCAAACAAACAACAACAATCTATGTACATGGGTCTCAAGTGTAATCCCAAAGGTTTCAAATGTGAAATTACATGGGCTTCACACATTACACTGTATGTGATTTTGCACATGTGAAATGCATATGGTTTTTCTGTAAGGGCTGAGCCCATAGTTTTCATTCAGATGGACCTGGTCTGGTTTTCTTTGTGGTGAATTTTAGACCATTTTAGGACAGTTTCTGCAGGAATGAGACAAAATCTCACCCTGCTCAAATAGTTCATTAATTTACAATCCAAACATCCTCACTTCCTGGAGGGACTGACTAAATACGACATGGAACATAAATCTACAGGAGTGTAGTTTCCACAGAGGAGTGACAGTCTGGGTAAAAGACTGTATATGATGTTTTCTTTCTGCTTGTTTTATTACATCACTGTATCTTCATCAGTGTAAGGACATCTGTTTGAAAGGAGACAAAGACAGGATAGGGGAAAAAGCAGTGAATGAAACAGCTGATCTTTACAGGATGTCCTAATATTCCCATCCTCTAATCATTTCCATTTTGTTGAAAGAAAATGAGACAGAGATGAAGATGGTCAGGTGGAGTAAAGACACCATAATTGTGTTTGCCAAACCATTTGAAAGTGAAGTAGATACAGTAGAACAGGGCTATTCAAATATGTTGTTCAGGTGGCCACATATCCTGAAAGCTAAGGGCCCTGAGTAATTCTTACTTTGTATGTACACTTGACACAATACAAAACTTTTATTTTTCCACGTTGCAAAAGTAGCCTAATGAAGAAAATAAATAGGCCTCCTTTAAGTTATCAGGCCAAGTGGTTCATTTGATTTTCTGTGCAACATAAGCTGTGCCATTAACAAAAGTAAACACATAGTTTTCTACAACACATCATGCCAGCTGTCTGGCATGCAAATTGGTTAATTCTGTTATCTCTTACGTCACACCATATTAAAGTGACAAAAAGAGGCAAACAACAGAAGAAAGCAAAGAGAATGCAAAAGTTCAAGATAAACTGACCTTGTCTGTGAATTTGATACCACACACACCAATTATAGTTGAAAGTTGGCAACATTTTGACAACAGACACTTGTTGTTACTGCCTTGGACTGGTGTGTGTGTGTGTGTACTGACCTGTTACCTCATCTGCGCTGGGATCAATAAGACGCTCTGGACCACAGTCCATAGCACTGTGAGTGCGACGCTGCACACACACATGACAGGTCCATGATGAATGTACAGTCATTAACATGATCACGTTATAATGAGATCACAATATAGAGTCACACACACACTGACCGGAGGTCTGTTCACTATCCAGTAAGCCCTCTCCTGGCAGTCAAACACCACACAGTCCGGCTTCATCCTCTCCTTACCAGCCCTGACACACACACACACACACACACACACACACACACACACAACACACACACACACCCACATGGACACATGGACACATGCAAAAAGAATGGGAAGTGCAGGTAGTTAGATGAATCTAACAAAACCTATAACCTGAGTTGAGTAGCTGAACTGATTATGTTGGTCAGGTAGAGGTAGGTCGTCTCTAGTGTCAAACTTCTTGTCAAAATTTTAAATACTCTTCTGGGTATTGAGCATCAAAAACTGTCAAGTAGTGAAAGTCTAATTTATAGTTTGAGACTGTTGTATTTTGGCTCTGTACAGCTGCTTGGGCTTTTGTTTCTGTAAATTAGATGAGATAGATTAGATTTTTTTTTTCCTACACTGGTACCAATCGTTTCAGCACTAGTGTAGAAAATTTTTAAATATGAAAGATGCAGCCCTGCCTGTGGTCTACAGAGCCTCCACATGTAGCTGCTGCCTCCTCTCTATAGGCCTCACTGTAGCTGACAGACTGTGGAGTTATTATTATTCCTCTGCACCGGCAACAGTTAGAGCTGGAGCCATATTGTTTTCATGTTGTCCATACGTACATACATCTGTCCCAGTCTCGAGGACATACATTATTTGATATCTCAGTAATGCCTTGATGGAACCTCTTCAAATTTGGCACAAACATTCACTTGGACTCAAGGACGAACTGATTAGATTTTGGTGGTCAAAGGTCAAGGTCACAGTGACCTCACAAAACGCAGTTTTGTATGATGGCCCTGAGAGCTCAACACACTACAACTTAAGGAAACACATGCAAATACACATGTGCATTGACAATTCAGAAAACATCTTCATCAATTTAACAGCACATGTGCTACAAATACTGTCAACACAACAGAAGTGTTTCCAGGGGACACTAAAAAATAACAGACCCAGCTGGGGCACATTCACAATGCTGTTTGTTCATTGCTTCTTGACTTTTGAAGTTATGAAGACGGCTACCCGTTAGTGGTATTTGAAAATAAGCTAAAGGTGAGTTGTTTGGTTTAGCATAACGTCAATATCACATGATTCAGATATTATTGCAAATATGTACTGTTAGCTTAGCCATAGTCTTATAATGAACATTATAATAGACCCAACTTATTTTCAAACGCCACTAATGGGTAGTTGTCTTCATAACTTCAAAAGTCAAGAAGCATTGAACAACCAGTGCATCCCAGATGGGTCCATTACTTTTTAGTGTCCCCTGGAAACACTTCTGTTGTGTTGTCAGTATTTGTAACGCATGTGTTGTCAAATTGATGAAGATGTTTCCTGATTTTGCAGCGCCTTTGTCTTATTTTTTTGTATAGGTTTGACCTACTTGTACTGTTCAGTAGCCTGCATCACAATGAAGTCCCACTTGTGGTTCAGCCATTCATGGAGGTGGTTATAATGCACCTGTTAAAAACAGTATGTATAAGTACAGTAACAGTGACATTGAAGGTAACAGGGACAGTGACAGTGAGGGTGACTGATGGTGACAGGGACAGAGACAGGGATGGTGACAAGAACATAGACAGGGATGGTGACAAGAACATAGACAGTGACAGTGTGACGTGATAGTGACGGTGACGTGGCGGTGACAGTGACAGTGACGGTGACAGTGACAGTGATGGTGACAGTGACAGTGATGGTGTGACAATGGCAGGGACAGTTACAGTGTGAGGTGGCGGTGACAGTAAGGTAATAGTAACAGTGACAGTGACAGTGACGGTGACAGGGACATTGAAGGTAACAGTGACAGTGACAGTGAAGGTAACATTGACAGTAACAGTGACGGTGACGGGGACAGTGAAGGGAACAGGGACAGCCAGTGACAGTGACAATAATGGGGACTGTGTGACATTGACGGTGAGGGTGACAGGGAAGGCAACAGGGACAGAGACAGTGAAAGTGTGACGGTGACGTGGCGGGGACAGGGGCAGGGACAGTGACAGTGACAGTGATGGTGGGACAATGGCAGGGACAGTTACAGTGTGAGGTGGCGGTGACAGTAAGGTAATAGTAACAGTGACAGTGACAGTGACGGTGACAGTGAAAGTAACATTGACAGTACCAGTGACGGTGACGGGGACAGTGAAGGGAACAGGGACAGCCAGTGACAGTGACAATAATGGGGACTGTGTGACATTGACGGTGAGGGTGACAGGGAAGGCAACAGGGACAGAGACAGTGAAAGTGTGACGGTGACGTGGCGGGGACAGGGGCAGGGACAGTGACAGTGACAGTGATGGTGGGACAATGGCAGGGACAGTTACAGTGTGAGGTGGCGGTGACAGTAAGGTAATAGTAACAGTGACAGTGACAGTGACGGTGACAGTGAAAGTAACATTGACAGTACCAGTGACGGTGACGGGGACAGTGAAGGGAACAGGGACAGCCAGTGACAGAGACAGTGACGGTGACTGTGTGACATTGACAGTCAAGGCAACAGGGACAGAGACAGTGAAAGTGTGACAGTGATAGTGATGGTGACAGGGACAGTATGGTGACAGTGACAGAGACAGTGATGGTGACAGGGACAGTGAAACTGACAGGGACACTGACAAGGACAGTGACAGTACGGTGACAGTGACAGACACAGTAACAGTGACAGGGACAGTGACAGAGATGCTGACAGTGACAGAGACAGTGATGGTTACAAGGACAGTGACAGTGACAGAGACAGTGACGGTGACAGGTGACAGGTGACAGACAATGACGGTGACAGAGATGCTGGCAGTGACAGTACGGTGACAGTGACTTTGACAGAGACAGTGACGGTGACAGGGACAGTACAGTGACAGAGACAGTGACGGTGAGAGGGACAGTGATAAGTTCACTTAAAAACAGAACATAAACAGAACTGGGAGGAAACTAGTGCTCAGTAAGTCAGCAGCAGTTAAAATCTCCTCTTCTACAAACAGCCTGTTTGGGTCAAATGTTTTCGCCACATCACATCTCATGTCTGAATCCATAGATTAAACATTGTGTTTTACTCTTTCCTATTGTAAATAAATGTCTTTAGTATAACTACTGGTCAGTTTAATGTTGCACAAGTGTGAATATTGCCAACCTTTACTCAGTTGAATTCCAAACCTTCAAAGATTTGCTGTTGATATGGTAATTTGGTTATAGTTATTAAGGTAATTATTAATCACAGTTCCAGATTAATAGTAATAATTTGAGACTGAAAAAATATTGGCTATTTTGCCTATTAGTTAGGCTGGTGCCCCTGAGGACTTTAATTCAGTTATTATTTGATATTAATATTTTAATATTAATATTTTCTACATTTATGATAGCCGATAAATTGATAGAAAACCAAAGGTCCAACATATATGGTGTCCTGCTTGTGAGGCAGAGCTCAGACCCAACATGCACATCTACACACACACACACACACACACATGTACCTGTTCATAGGGCTCTAACATGCCTTTCTTGCGGATGTTCCTCTTGGCCAGGTAAATGGCTACAATCACAACAAAACAAATCATTGGTTACTAGTGTTCGAAAGTAAGTAAATATATTTACTCAAATACTTAGACTTACACAATACATTTCATAGGGAAATATTTTACTTTCTACATTTATCTGACCAATTTAGTTTTAGCACAGCACATAACTGCATATTTCAGGAGAAAACTTTTAAATGTGGATACAAGTATTGGGTATTACTCTTTTGACAAAACACGTTAGCCACTCAAAAAATCAAGATGGTCATCACTTCCAAGATGGCTGACATTTCTGGCAAGGAAGTGTATGTAGTATGCAGTCCCAGTATGCAGACAAGAACCTTGCTGTGGAAACTGGGAGAAACTACTATCCTAGAGCTGTCAAAAAAAAAAAAAGACTAGTTGCCAACCCATCCAAAAATCTGCAGGGATAATTTGTTAATTTACTACTGCTGAGGAAATCTGGCATCTGAAAATGTCAGACATTGTATTGAGGCGCCTTGTTCGTAAGTAGTTGAGCTCAAGAAGGTGATTGATTCTCTTTTCAGATCTGCCAGATCATTTCTGGGATTTGACAAAAAACAGTGAGTCCCTTCTTTTAAAACAAACCAAGTTGTTCTTAACCATGAGCCTGTGAAACGATCACTCAGAGCCTGTTTGAAGTGGTGTTGCTTATGCAGTATTGGTTGTAATTCTTTTGTTGGAGCAATAACTATATATTGCGCGTCCCTACATGTGATTCAACAGTCTGCAGGTTGCATTGTAAAGAGATGTTTCTGTATTGTACCCACCGTAGTCCGAGTCTTCTGCAACCCAGTTCTGTGTCGGCCAAAAGTAAGGGGTCTGAAAGGGATGACATTTGAAAACAGTGATGTTGATGTTCTTTCAGTGGATAAACATAAACAATAAACAAGATAATAAAGAGAAAACATAAACAACAGTAGCTGTAACTGCAACAGTAAAGTTTGTAAAGGAATGAAACATATTATATTTTCTATGAAAATAATTAGGGAACACTGCACCTGGATACAGTTAGAGAATGATGGTAATCGTGGTTTAATAATGAAGAAGTCAAAAGTGACTTGAAGCAGAAAATGCAAACACATTTCACTGAAAACCAGATTCTTTACTGAACCTAAACCAGCGTACATCTACTCCCTAAACCTGATCCCACGTGGGACTGTGGTGAGAACATATTATGGCACTGTCGAGGTGAATTAACCATCTGGCTCTTCACTTTGAAGGAGCATAGTATTTCTAAGGTCACAACCCATTTTAGTAGGTAGCTAGTTACTGTGTTTTTGTACTGGGATTATTCACAGCAGCCCCTAGTTGGTTGATTCATAATTATTCATTTATTATTTATTCAGACTTTGGCATTGCAGTACAATACAACAGTTGCTCTAGTTAATAGAGGCAGGATTAGGGTTATAAAGTGACACTGAATTAAATTAATAAAAAAATCAAAAATAAAATGAACTGTGTTATTATGAAAATATGATTTTATGATGAAATATAATTTCATTATAGTGAGTTGCATTTTAATAATTTCTGAAATGTTTAAAAAAATTATTGCTTCATTTATATATTTTACACTATTCATGCATGTGACCGTCTCAATAACTTCTTAATCCATTTAATATTTAACACTTTGACAGCTCAAGACAGTTTCTAATTTGTCCATTAACCACATTAAACCACCCACACACTACTTTATTGAATGGATAAAGGGTAAGAATTGATAACATGGCTTGAAAACAGCTAGTGTGAAGTCTGGATAGATGCGATAATAAAGTTATCATTCAAAATTCAAATTCATACATCTGCAGATTCCTTGTGAAGCAGGAACAGTTCCTCCTTTGTCCTTGGTGTGCAATAATAATTTTTAACACAGTCAGAGAGTCTTTAATCTTTAATGAAGTGAAATCCCGATTCTGTTTCCTGTGAAGATAAAGTGAAACATTGACTCCAGCTATAGGCAGGATTGAGGAAGCAAGTATTCAGTTTTACCTGGAAGCGGTAAAGGCTGGTGTCATTGCACATGACCAGCTTCTTGTGGTTCTGCAGGGGGTAGATGTAACCATAGGCCACCAACATGGTGCCAAAGACATGAGCCTCTGGAACAACACACACAGGAGGCAGCAGAGGGCAAGGACATGAATGAGACGGAGCAGTGAAGATGTCATGATGTCAGGTTTTTCATTTTCATAGTTCACAAACTCTACCTTCTGTTTCAGTTTTCATCTTGCTGGCGATCCATGCAATTATGTCCTGACCTGTGGAAACAGAGAACATCTGAAATACTGAAATATCCCAGAAGTTTTGGAGAGATCTCGAGTCTCACTTTTCGAAGCTGCTAACTCTCTCTACTCCTTCAACCTTAAAGATATTATTCATTATGATAGTCCAATTACAGTGCTCTGGAATATCTACTTAATGCAAAATTCCCTATCCACAAACAGAAATTTGCCAAATCAACTGCTAAATTTTCACCTTTTTTCCTAAAACTAAATTTTCTACTCAAGTCACTTGGTTTATTAAACAACAAAAAGGGTAATAAGCTGCACACAGTGCACACAGCCATGTTCCACCAACTACACAATAGTGACTGCAGTTTGTGATAACTGTGCTGAAAACTTTGTGTTTGACAAAGACATAATTTGTTTTTCTGTTAATAGCGTGATCTTAGAAGTTTACATGTCATATTATTAGTGCCACGGGTGCTCAGCTCCGAGGCACTCCTCTACAGCTAGAATAGCTGAGAGGAGTGCCTCTATTAATATTCCTTCAGGCTTATTATTATTCTTCCGCCAAATTTTGGCGCATAACTCGTCCTGCAGCTTTGAGAAAACCCCAGTAATATATACATCAAAACGTGTGTCTTGATCCCGAAAGAGGTGCTATGACTTTTGGTGTTAAAATTCCAATTTTTCCCAAAGTTATTCCAAAAATACTGGGAATAAATAATGCATTAGGAATGCATTGGAATTTTCTTTAAAAACCCACAAAATTTCACCTTTTTTCTACAAAATTTCACCTTTTTTCTGAGTCACCCAGCTCTCTCATACCTGCACGTAGAAATGTGATTCAAACTATAAAACGGAGGAAAACTTCTGCTCTCTCCAAAACACAGCAACTGTTTTTACATAACATGTAAACTTTTCAAACTATGAGCACTCAAAGGAGGAGTGGAAATCACTTTTTCTTCAAAGTTAGAGTGACAGCGTCAGTTGGCTAGAGTGCGTGAAGCAGTAAAAAATAACCTTTATTTTTATTTTTAACTCGAGCTCACGGCCAAACCGTAAAAAGGAGACAAATAATTCTTTCTGAAAATGTAGACATAGTTGTTGGGATTCATAAAATGTAACTTTGACAGGCAGGGTCTGCACAAAATTTAAACGGGGGTGCCGAGTCCGGCAGCAATACCTGTCTCACTCTCATTGACACCTAATGTAATCGTTTTTTTTTTTCAAAAGAATCTCACTCTGTCTTCGCACTGAGCTTACTCACTCATTTTAAGGAATATCTGAATAAAATAGAGACTGTAAGAAACTTCTGGCTTCAGTGTCTGTCACGGTGTTTTCGGTTTTTGAAAAGAAGTAACGGTTTTCTCATAATTTGCAATTGTTTTAAGCCATGTAGAAGCCAAATTCTGGGCAGATTTTCACATTGCCATGGCAACGGCAGCTCCTGACCTGTGTGCGTGTGTGCGTGCCTAGCAACCAGATAACCAACTCTCCAAGCTCCGCTAGCTTTACATTAGCCGCATGTTAGGTCTTAAATTACATTTAGTTAGGTCTTAAATATGTAAGTCCATTTACTGCTTCCTTTGTTGCTTTTCTTTTTGTTTTGTTAAATGAGTGAATGAAGTTGTGACGGTCTCCGCTGAGACAGAGGAGAGGAGAAGCTACTAGCCCTCTCTCGCTGTCACTTCTAGTCGCGTTGCTCTCCTCCCCAGTAATGTTAAATTTAGCACCGAAAAAAACATTATAGTGGTAATTTAAATAGCGGTTCATGGGATTTATTAACCCTCAGGGGTCCCTCTGTCCTTTTTTGGACATTTTCTTCACTTTTCTTTTTTGATTAGCTGATCATTTTGGCTGTGTTACAGCTGAAGGTATGGATTTCTGCAAGAAAGTGTCTTTTTTGACATATTTTTAAAATGTAATGTCAGTTACTGTTACAGGTCTATTATACACTGGTAACACATTTTGTACCCTCTGGGGTTCCTCGCGTCCAAAAAAGGACACCCAAAGAAAATGCTATAAAATCATCATATATCAATATTTTATTCTGCTTTTTTTTTGCATACATCTCTTAAACCACTTCAGTTCTGCTCAAACCTACCAAATGTTTATTAGTTTTCAGGATTTTAACCCTTTAAATGCCAGTTTGAAGACATGTTGCCTCTTGTTTTATTAAAAAAAACAACACAGAATATGAGATATTTCCCACATAATACATGATGGAGGGATGTGACATTGTTTTATATCAGAGTCTTTTATATCAAGACATTTCTCAAAACCAGAATATGATCAGGGTGACTTTTGAACACTGGAAATAAATCATGTACTCATCCCGGCAGTAGCCCCCGTGGCACTCAAAATTTCCCTGGAATTTTCTAGTTTTAATTTGTTGTTCACCCTCACATTAATGCTGCCAGTTTTCATTTAAAAGCAAAGTGATCATTGTGACATCAGATCTCAAGTTAACTGTTGGGATGATGTAGGAAAAGATGAGGAGCCACAACAACACAGCTAAAGGATGAGTAAAGGGAACATTCACTTCAGATCAATCACACTGAAGCGCACCTACACAGCAGGAGGTGTTTATACATTACTCAGACCACCTCGACAGGTGAGATGGTGGGTTTGGTCCTTGTATTCATACTGACCTTTCCCTCGCTGGTCTTAGACCAGATTAAAAAGCCACTTTAGCTCCTAAAGCACAGTCCAGATCTCATCCAATTGTGGGTTTCCTTATTTAGTCTGTGTTAGCAGCTTAGACAGTCAGGGCAGCCTGTCACAGTCTGTTTTAAATATGCACTGGCACTGAGTGTTGTCTTTGCTGTCAAGAGAATTTATACAGATTTTATGTTTTATTTTACAGAGACATAGAAGTTCAGAAATAACAGACCCTGACCAAGTCAAGGTTTTATTAATAATCAGTACAATACAACCTACTCCTGCCATGGAGAGAATAACAGAATACCTTTTTCTGTTTATTATTGTATTGATCCATATCAGTCATTTTAAATAATCTAGAAACACAAGCAAATAAAGCTCAATAAACAAACTACAATGATCGGTAAGTGCAAGTGGAAATGAAACTATTTTAATGACAGAATACTCATCAAAATCTGAAAAACAAAACAAAACAAAGATTATATCTTCGATATTATTGATAAAAACAGTGATGAACTCTCTTTTATACATAACAACACAAACACATTATACATTTTTGGGAGCACAACAAGCTGAAAACAAAACATAACACACCTTTCAAAGTTGCAGTCAACTGCACATTCACACATATAGATATCACAGAGCAACACTGGCTTTTATCAGGCATTGTCTAGTCCAATATTCACTTTGAGGAAGATGATTCTCTGTGGGGTTGTCACTAAATAGTGAAACTGTTATAAAGATACTTGTCAAATTATAACACTATGTTGAAATTGAGTTTATATTTTATCTTGGAGAAAATGTTGGAGTTTTATTTTAAATGAGCACATTAGCAGGACGAGTAGTAAGTAGTAAGTATTGATGTTGGCCCTTAATTTGTTAAGTATCAAATCGACACAGTGACCTTAACAAGTGGAAGAGACAAAGATAAAGTTGGCATTAACTGTCCAGTCAACCATTAGGGTAAGGTTAGGGTTGGTTTGAGTGTCTCTGTGTGTGCATGTGTGGCCTTGTATTTCTATATTCATGGGGTCCAACCAGGTGCCCACTGTACTAGTGGGGTCTGACAGCCTTGTGAGGACCACAATGATGTGTGGCTGTGTGGCAATATGTGTGTGTGTGTGTGTGTGTGTGTGTGTGTGCGCGTGCGTGCGTGCGTGCGTGCGTGCGTGCGTGTGTGTGTGTGTGTCAGTCTCACCAGTAATAACATGTGGGATCTTTGTGACATTGAGTTTCTGCTCTGAGCCTTTTACTCCACTCTTCAGGTCCTGCATCTCCACCACCATGGCTTCCAGCTGTGAACCAAACAATATAGATAATGTAGATATAGATAATTTTCAGATACAGTGTAATACCCACTGTCACATATATCCAGTTCAGATATCCACATTCCACTCAGGAAGAGAAAACCACAGCATGAACACTGGTACATGTGTCATGTCACATACATTATTCCACAGTTTTAGAGCATCACCAGTGAACAGGGAGGAGGTTTAGGAAATGAAGTGTTGTTAGGCTGTGGTACCAAGGCCATTTGAGCTGGAAATCCAATGTTCATATAAAAAAGAGGAATCTCAGTTGATCTTGTCCAGTGCATGTATGAGACAGAATATCAAGTAGAGTATTTGATTACCTTCAAATACCTTCAAGCGCATGATTAAAATGATGTCATTGCTAAGTCTATTCATTTGTCATGTCTGAGCAATCATGAATTAGGAAGGAGTATACAATCCTTTAAAGGGCCCATGGGCAGTGAAGTTCACTTAGCAGCTCCATTATTAGCCCATGGAGAACCCAGAGAAACCACTCAGTACTCCTTTACTGCAATACATGGTCCCAGGTTATCTAGTGTGTCGGTGTGGGTTAGACAAATATTTGTTTTGGAATCTGCACAATGTAAAGATAAGAATATCAAAACTTCATTTTAACACAGGGCACTGCTACAAGACAGGGGCCTCAGTACTACAGCTTTAAGGTCATCATCATTTAAGTAGCTATTGATTTACATATTACATTACTGAAATTACCACAACATTGACACACAGTGACCCTGGGGCATGTGGGGCAGCTGGGGGTCTGCAGCTGCTGGACAACTCCTTGCTTTGTCCAGTTCTGTATCCAACCATAGAAACATCAGGGTCAGACTTAAAATAAATTTTAAACAGTGAAGTTTGTCCATCATTATATACAGCAACTGTATCTCTTACAAATAATTTTCATATCAAAAAACTTTTGCAGTAACAAAACAGAGCAAAAGGGCGACAGGAACTGAACTCAGAACAGGAAAAGAAGGTAAACACTTGTACTAAACCTGTACTTTACTTTTCTGTAATGTAACACTACTTTGCTGTTTTAGCTCTGAACATTGCCAATAAAAATAAGTTGCTAATGCTGTATACTTCCATATGGAGGACTGGGTTGCATCTCATCAGGAAAGCAGGAACACTGTGTTGTTCTTGCATCTGATTACAGTGACATGTACTCTGGGTACTTAAGGTTGTGTTTACTACTTTCAGAGAGCAATATTTCACTTTACTCCGCTACTTACACATTTTTACTCAGTGATAATGATGCAATGATATACACATATGTTCTATAGAACATGCATAACAAATAGTTTTACTGTGATACTTTTTTTAATAAAGATTTTAAATTGTGGTTTTGCCACTTTTACTTCAGAAAAATTTTTTTATTCCACCACTGCAAGGCAGTCGTGGCACATGATTTTCATTTTACACCTTGTGTCTTATACTTTTGGATTCAGTGCTGTTTTTGCTGCATTACATGGGTTGGCTGTGGTTTAGGTTGTAAGGTTGGGGGTTTGATTCCCGCCTCTTCCATGGAGCCCCACTGAGCAGCGTGACACTCAGCGCTTCTCCTTGAGCTGCTGTGTTTGAGTTGTGCCTCACTTCTACGGCACTCTGGACAAAAGTGTCTTCCAAATAAATAAATGTAAACGTAATGTAACTTTGCCTAAATGTATCCTTTGCACTGAAAATGTGAATGTTGTTGAACACAATCTGAGCCTCTCTAAACTTCTGGTTTATGATTCCATATCTATGACTTTTTATGACTTTGCTAAATAAAATCAAACCTTTGACTGAACTGAATTATGACCCACCATCATTTAATGTGGTATCTGCATTATTCTTTCATAAATACATGAATAATTAACTGTGCCACTTTACTGTGCCACTTTTTTCAGCACCCATCTCACTATAGTGTTATACTAAAACAAAAATAGCATTCCCCCTACATATATTATATACATCATAGACATACAGAAGCAATAATATCAGCTGTATGACAATGTAATGCAATGTGTATGGAATCCATAATTAGTCTAGCAGAAAAGTGATATTTATTTTTTGTAACGTAGTTTTTAATCCATTTATTTTTTTTATTGTATTTGTTTTCTATTTGTCTGCTTCCTTGCGCATTGTAATCAGATAGACTTCAGGATTTTCTTCTGTTATTGATTCTGTCCTGTCCTTATGTCCTTTGACCTCATGTGTAAGTGAGCTTAAAGTTAATATCTTCTTCTGAGGAGCACACCAGGTGAGGTCAGGTTTTTCTGCTGCACTGAACAGTATATTTCAACAGCAGAGTAGCAAAGCTAATTGGCTTTAAGGTGGAAATAGCGATGATCATTAACAATCCTCTGTTCTTCTGCTAGCAAACAAATCATGTGTAAAGCTCATATAAATACACATGTACTCAATGAGACTCTATGCGTAAAAGGAAAAAATAAAAAATAAAGCTATTTCTGAAAATACTGAGTGAGAGAAACTTACATGCTAAAAACTTAGAAGTAAATGGTTTTTTTTCACAGCTTAAATGTCAGTGTTCTCCAGAAATGTAAAGTCTAATTTCTGACCAAATTAAGGATAATCAACACATATTACAAATGAAATGCCAACAGCTTACACAGAACAGACAGAACTTGAACAATAATAATAATGATGCTGCCCACCCACCTTTTTGATGCAGTGCATTCGAGGCCGGAAATGTCGCCCCCTGTCAGGACGGGCTGTTCTTATTGTCATAATTGCAGACAGATAAAGACCAAATCAGTTGTTTAAAAAAAATGAAGTCCTGGTGTGAAATATTCCAGTTGTAATATGTATAGCAGCTGACAGACAAGTGTGTATATGCAGTGGATGTGAACACACTCCTCCTCTGTGGGGATTGTAAAACAGGATTGTAAGGATGGATTAACCACCAATCAGCTGTAGGAAACTTGTGCTCTTATCCCCCAGTAATTACAGAGAAAAGCCTTTGGGTGGTTCTTAAATTAACTTCTGTGAAGAGTCATGATTGACCCAGTGTCAGAGCTGGAACATGTAGTTTGGTTGGTCGTGTGTGAAGACTGGAGTGTGTCACGATCACCAAAGACTTTATGAGTTGTTTGATTAATTGATATAGAATACATTACAAGTGGGTAAAAAAAACGAATCAAAAAGAAAACACAATCATTAATTGTGCCATTCAATGCAATAGATCTACATTTTGGGAAATATGCTTATTCTGTTTCTTGCTGACATTAAGATGTTCAGAGTAATAAACTAAACCACTCTCATGTCTGTACTGTAAATGTGAAGCTATTGCCAGAGATTAACAAGTTAAATCTATACAAAACTGAACTGTAAAAATAGAAAAGTTGCATTTTTTTGGATGGGGGGGTTATGTGTCAGGCTATTTCTTGGCTGGGTGCAGTAACTTCCTGGAGACTACACGACCGTAACACCTGAATGAGTCATTCTTGCATTTCAGTTTTTGGGTGGATTAAACAAACAAACAAACAAAAAAATACAATAATGTCATACCTAGTGAGGTTCAGAGATGCTGCTAAGTGGATATTGTTATTATTACCCTTTGGACAGGGTCGGGCTACTTGATTCCCTTCTGTCTGCAGTGTTTATGCTAAGCTAGGCTAACTGGCTTTAGCTTCATATTAACTGTATGACTTGAGAGTGATGCAGGAAAGAGAGTAGCCCAATCATATTTCCCAAAATGTCAAACAATTCCTTTATTAATTTAATAATTTTCTTATTATGTATTATTATGAAAAATTGAATGGTTTGCAAATAGAAATTTGTAAATGTCAAGAGATGAAGTAAAATTTTAATAAGATACTATGCAGCAAAATATTTTACCAAATAATTATTAACTGCAAGTCAGATAACAGGCCAGAACTCTAATTTACCATAGGTAAGGCTAAACGTTAGCTAGAGGCAGTGCAAACAGCTGTCCAAGACTCCACACCTCCAACCACAACTGGATGTGTTTCGAACTATTTGCCCGAGTCTGAAAAATGCTGAGCGAGATGATGCTACAGGAATCTGTGTGACCCGCCCAAACCTTGAAGCGTGGGCGCGCTTACGTACTTTATCACGAGCGTGTCTCGACCGCCACTCTAACTTATGCTGGATTCATGTTTATCGGAAAAACTGGACTTTTATTTTGGAGCACACAAACTAACCTTTGTAACCATACATGTATCAGACAAAAAGAGGTTCATTTGAACCGTATTCAATTAAAGCTCTGTGTAGACCCTTGATATGTTAAACACACATCGTTTCTTCAAAAAAATGTTTAATGTAGTAATAAATAAACCACACATCAAATTTCCAGGAAGTGGTGATTGCTTTGGTTTTATGAAATTACCATTCGTTATTACATGTAATACATGTAATAACGAATTGTATATATACCAGTATATATATATATATATATATGTATATGTGTGTGTGTGTGTGTGTGTGTGATGTGTGTGTGTGTGTGTGATAGTTATATAGTATATAATACATATAGTATTTATATGTATATATATACAATATGTTATTTGTGTTGCCAGAATTTAGTTTATTGGAAAAATTTACATATTTTGCTCTAAAACAAAGTTCCGGCGTAGCATTTTCGATGTTCAGCCTCAGCTCAGTATTTACGGACTGGATTTTGGTGTTTGAACTACACTGGTGAAAGTTGTGGCGAACGTTTCAGTACGGTGGAATCCTACAACACGCGAATGCAGCAGCGGGCAGGGGTGAGCTCAGCCCTCAAGTCCCCGCTGTCTGTATCGATGAAGTTGTTTCAAAGATGGCGGATTTCCTGCCGTCCCGCTCCGTTTTATCTGTATGTTTCCCTAACTGTCTCCTCACAAGCGGAGAGGCAGAACAATTGCGGAAATCTAAAGAGATAGATAAGTGTATTAATCGAGATAAGACTTACGTAAAAAGGTTAGTAAAGATACTATTACTTGGAGCAGGCGAAAGCGGCAAGTCCACTTTCCTCAAGCAGATGCGCATTATCCATGGGCAGGACTTCGATCAGAAGGCCAAAGAAGAATTCAGAGCTACGATTTTTAGTAATGTTATAAAAGGTAAGGCTACACCGAGTACCTGTTGTGTTTCATATGTTGAAGCAGGCTTGTTTTGACCACTGTACCAGTCCCCTACTTTATGGTGTAAAGAGTAATGAGTGGGAAGTTGGTAGCCATGTTAGCTGCAGCTGAACCGATGAGAGCACTTTTCTGTGTTCGACAAAGCTAGACTGGTTAGCTGGTTAAGCGACCCAGAAACGCCCATGTTATGTGTGTTTGTCTGAGTGAAGGAGAGGGGAACGCTGGTAGTGTGGTCATTGTTTGTGTTTGTTCGGAGCTTCTCTGATATTTTTCCTTTCTTTATGTTGAGTCACAGAAACGTACACAATGGTTTGACATTGTCCTGGTGCTCCTCATGGCCGCTGTTATCACCGAAACATGCCTCTTGGTCTTATACTGAGAGAACATGACACCAACATGTGCCTGTTTACTGTAAACTTACTTATCACACATGAGACTAGGGACAGCTCTCTCCAGCTGATTTACAGCATGACTGACCACTGTAAACCTTTTCTGAAAGTTGACACATTGATGAATTTAACAACATCCTCGGTCAACCTGCTAAAAAAAATTCTAGAAGAGCTATACATCATTTTACAAATTATCAATATCTGCCTCTGTTTGCTGTACAGTGCTTACAGGTGAACATATTGGTCATCGAAAATTTACAGAATCACTTCTAAACTCACAGCCTTGCTACAACTCTACAGTCCACATCAACATGCAGCTGTGTCATCTGCAAATAGAGTTCAGTAGTGAGTCAGTGAAGTTGTTGATTTCTTTGTGATTTACCCAAAACGGTTGACAGGTTGCATTCTGGGACAGTAAGCTGTTGGTATTAAGCTCAGACACTCAAGCTGTCCAAGTAAAGTTCAGTGAATGAGATCTCTTGTAGGTGGGTGTCCCAGATTAGATGTGTTGTTTCACATTAGGTTGCGGGACACCCAGTGATTATGAATCTGATTGTACAGCCTGTTCAATATTGTTTTGCCTCATTAGTTTCCCCCAACATTGAACTGTGTCACAGAATGACTGTTCACTAAATGCATGTTGTGTTGTTGTTGTTTTTTTTACATTGACTTTGAGACAACACTGGCCTGTCCCTCTTTTATGCTGCCAGCAACACAACAAACAACATTGCTTATCTTTTTTTTTTTTTTTTTGAATATGTGTGGTTTGTGCCTGCTGCTGTTCATCTGTCCACATCATGCTGTGAAACTGATTTTAAGTGGTTAAAATGGTGTTACTCACAGCTTCCTGACAGTTCTCTTCACAGGAAAGCTTTTACTGTGAAAAATCAACTGCAGGAAGTGTTGCTAATGTCTGTCCTCTGTCTTTCATTTCTGTGTTTTTTCCCATGATAGTCAGCTTCATTATTTTAACTCCACATTTTAGACGGTTGAAGCCTCATATGAAAGAGTCCCCTGGGCTCAGTGGCCAATAACAATATGTAATCCACTCTCACCCACCTGAGCTGAATTGGTGAGATGTTGTTACTTGTTTGACACAATGTGAAGCAATGGAGCTGGATATATTGTTCAGTTATTTATTTGTCACAAAGTACTTGGTATTTCAGACATTTGCAGTGGAGAATTCACTATTATTTGTTGTTATTGGTATTATTTAATAGTTAAGAAATCCCCCTGCAAGCTGAGTGGCAAGCTAGCAGGTGAGTCTGTGGGTTTATTGTTATCTACAGTGTAGTACTCCCACACACTTCTCAGATGCTCTCAGGTCTCATGACTTTCTGCTCAGGACATCTTTGCTCACACGTGTCCTCCATTTTTTTGGAGCTGTACAGTGAAGCTATGGCATGAAACACAACAGCGAGCAAGAGAAAAGGTATGGGACGAGCAAGGGGAGATTGTCCACCAGTTATTTGATTGTGGATGCGGTTGTTGACTTCGAAGGCTGTTAATATACCTGGGGGGCCTGCCCAAGTAAAGAAACAATGCAGTACATAAAAGAGAGCGCCTTTATAATGTGACACAATATGTTGTTTATGTTATATAGAAAATTAATGATCGTGGTGTTTGAGGGCACAGTTGCTACAGTGTGTTAGTACATGACCATTGCCATCAAAGTTGTTGATAAAGAAAACCTTTTGTAAATATGTCTGTTTGTGGCACATGAGTTGGCATCATTCATCTCTGTAGTTCTGTCTGAGGGTACTTTAACATAGATATTATATTTATTATAGATATGGTTGCTTATCTTGCTGATGTTGATAAATGAATATTTGTATTTTTGTTTCAGAGCCATATTTAGCCTTAATTTTTTATTTCTAGACACATACTTTGAGTCAGCTGGACGTCTGTTGGTTGGAACATATTGAATGATCATTAAGTGTTTGATCCTGTGGAAACAGTGTCATCAACCACATGAATAGCTCCATCATAGTGTATTGACCATATACTGAGCCACCCAAACACAAAAGTGGAAATTAACACTAACACAGCAGTCACTGATCACACAGTGGATGACCCTCGCGTGGTCATGCTCCTTCCAGTTGTTGGGGTTAGCTGCTGCTGTTTCGGTTTGACTAGACTGGTTGTAGTGATTGAATTATAGTTGAGAACAGATAAAAATATGAACTCTACCAGGCTTCTTTAATTATCTTTACAAAACATTATGGATGACACTTAATATTTAGTCCCCTAAGACATTTTACTGTGATTTGCTTTTAGGTGGGTGGTGACTTTACACCTTACACCTTAAGATTTAGTAACAGTATACACTGCTGCTACTTTTGGTGTTAGTGTGACCTGTCTTCCCTTCTAAAGCTGTGTTCACGTCAACATGAGCACTGCGTAAAAAAACACAGCCCACTCACAGATTTAAATACATGTTTAGTAACCTGGTTACTGAAAGCTTTCTGCATTTATATGATTTCTCAAATCTCATTTGTTCTTTTTCATTTCAATCTTTTGACACAAACAGGTTTTTTTTGCCACACACACCCATCTGAGTTGCATGTGCTGCAGTAACTGAGTGGGCAGTAGAGGCTTCTGTGTGCGCAGTTGCCTTTCGACCCATGGGCTGCATATGAGGCGTTCAAGCTACTGCTATACTATCCACATCCACAAGTATGCAAGGGTCTGCGTGTCTACATGTACCCTTCAATTTGATGTTTCTGTGCTGACTTCTCAACACACTCAATGTGACCACTAATACAGAACGAAAGAGAATATAGCATAATGTAGATTACAGATAAAGGTGTTTGATGATGATGAATTATAAAATACAATGACAGGGCAGGTAACAGGACTTATAAGAATCTAAGACTAATAAGAGATAGAGATAAAAGATAATAATAGGACTAATAATAAAGAGACTTATAGTAGTAATTGTATCTGTGCATGTTGAGCAGGATGTCATGGGGCAGTAGGTGGTCTGCAGTGACAGATCCAGACTCTACAGCTCAGAGGGCGACAATAGGAGAGAGGAGCTCAGTGCATTACGGGAGGTCTTGAGTTCATGTAGACTGAAAAAATTGATAAAGTGGGCATGAATTATTTTCTCATAGAATAATTGTAGGTGAGGTGTAATGAAGAAAAACAAACATCAGTAACAATGTAGTGTGTAAATGGAAACATAGTTTATCTGGAAATTGAGGATTCAGGTGCAGCCTAGAGTAACTTTTGAGAATTATTAAATCATTTGGTTTTTGATGAATTCAGGTCTGTTCTCCTCTCTGAAATGCTCAGGAACTGTTTGGTGGCACCATTAATATTCACGTGTGCATGTGCAAGACCTCACCTGCTGACTGTTTGCACTCTGAGGCCTTTTTGTCAGGCTGATCTCCCTGGTTTTCTGCTGAGGATAATTTGAATATAATAAATAACTGAAGGCATCGCAAGTTAGCTCCAAAAATGAGCTACTGAGTCTTAATTGGGTGAAATTTATGTCAGTCTGGAGCCCTTGTCTGCTCTGGTCTGAGCTTAGAGCTGATTGGCTCTGTACAGTGTGAGATGAATAACAAGCCAACGACTTACCAGAGACAGAAGCCTCTATTTGTACCGTGTGTGTGTGTGTGTGTGTGTGTGTGTGTGTGTGTGTGTGTGTGTGTGTGTGTGTGTTGGAGGGGGGGGGGGGTTTACGTGTAAACTCCCTGTGAATAAGTGCAAACAGGGAAGTGTGATGTGAGGCTGGAAAGGTTTACTCAGCTTCAGTCAGGGGGAAGTAAATGACGCTTGACGTGGTTAAACTGAAAAGGAAACTGTTGGTGTCAGTATCATTTCAGTATAAAAGATAAGTCAGTCATTGGGGGCCTAAAATGGTGGGGAAGCAGGAGTGGAGAGGAGTAAATCATTAAAAATGAAAACTCTTGATTTGTTGCTGTGGCAAGATCATTGCCGTGGTAATTGTGTGCTGCTGATGAAACTACAACAAGTCTCTGTTCCACATATAAGCCTGTAAACACAAAGTTGAAAATTGAACTTGAGTGGTGTCTGTGTTTCCCACAGCTCTGAAATATACATGTGGTGGTAGCCGGTGAAAAGGGCTGGTAACCTGCTGCCACAAAAATGGTCTACTACATGTGACAAACAACAAATAAATGTGACCTTTAACACGATATTTTGATTTATTGAATATTTCTATTAACTTCAAATATTATATTTAACAGACCCAACCCCCAATCCTTCCCTCCATCTACCCACATGGGAAATCAATGGGTACGCATCTGCACATTTCCACTTATATTTAGCCAGGACAACCTTGCTGCATGTGTAGCTGCCAACGCAGCATAGTTGCCGCTTTCTTTCAGAGATTTTGAAGCTAACTACCAAGTCAGAAAACAATACTCCTTACACAATAAGGAGAAAAGGTCCCTACACACTCCCCCTACCCACTCTCACTCCATTTGCGCGTTTGTGTGAAGGGTCCGCCACATTGAGTGTCGTTCCAAACTAATGACCTTTAAGTGGGAGTGGGTTATAAAGCCCTCCAACACGATCGATGTAGACTTACAAACCACCCTCCCAGACGAGTGCAGCATG